TTAAGCAAATTTTACTTTTAATCAAATGACAACTATGCGAAGATTTTGTTTGATTTGAAAATACTTCAAGCATACCAAAAGTAATCACTGTCGACACTGTAAAATCTTATAGGAGGCTTGAGGAAATTTTCTTTTCATGTATATACTGATAGCCCAAACCGAGTTCTATAATTCTACAATATTTCAGCATCATTCAAGTAATATTATAATATTTAGAGCATAGAAAAAACAGTGACAGCTAGATGACAACAAAATATGCAGAATGTGTAAAAATGTTTGTCTAGGGGATAACGCTGTGATTTCAAATAACATCAACAAAAAATTTTATACTAAATTAAAGTGCATCGAAAATACTCATGTAAATCGTTACGGACGTCGCAAACGATCGTTTTTCAGGCGTATTCGAGGTCGTACTCGCTAGTATATGACAGTTTTTATCTGTTTATCGAAAAACGAATAGTCATAGTATTACAAATAGTTCTTCTGTTATGCATATTAAAGCATAATTTATTGAGTTAAAATGGTTTAAACCCACATATATAAAAATTTTTAGATAAGTAGTTCCAGCAAAATATGAAAATATATGAACAACGAAGAGTGTCAACAGTTCGGCAACAAGACGAGTGGAGAAATAAAAAAACCAGAAAAGAAAAATTTGATCACATGAATGTAGATGAAAGGGAAGAAAAAAAACAAAACCCTTTTCTTCAATTACTTGTTGGTTGTTCATGTGTCGTCGAACAATTATTTATAGCTTCATGATGACGTACTTCAACTAGAAAATCTCCAACTGTAGGTGTCAATTGATATTTATAAAAATCGTTGTATATATCAGTAGCCAATCTGCGAAGAAAAAGAACAGGATCAAGAGCTTCTCTGGCTAAGTGTGATCATTTTGGAGGAAGAATACATGTTCAAAGTTCTTCGCCAGTATATAATATGCGCACAAACCAACGAGCATAATCACCAAAATCTCTTCCAATAATTTCAATTAAGTTCTGACTAACATGGTTCTACAAATAAGATAATAAACATTTATTGACACAAAGAGTTTTATGATCACTCACAACTGTACGTGAAAATATTATTTGAGCATCGGAATCTCAATAAGAATCAAAATTCCGAAAAACTCTAGAACAATCAATTTAAAAGAATATGAATAATAAACACTAACTTAAATTTTTCAAGGTAGACGAAACAAATTGACGAATTGTCTTGTTCATCTTCACAATACTTTTGCTCAAGTCAATCATTTTGTTTTCAATGGATTCTAATGAAATATCTGACATACAGAAAATAAAAGCAATATTTCTGCAAATTAGAGATACTTTTTCGAATTGTTAGTTGATTAATTTTGGCGTTTTAGTTCGTAGTTGTAATTGTGTATCATCGTCTTCTTTCGACACTTAATCAACTATTCGAGATAAGAAGAAAGATATATATAGATCTGTCTTGTTTGAAGCAACATATAAGTTTCTAAAACGAAATTTTTATTAGACATCATTTTGATTTGCACTATGCAAAATGCTGTTTCAAGGTGTGGGTACGGATAATTGTAAAAATGTTTCATACTCAGACTCCGCATCCAAACTTCACACCCATCTTTGTGCATGGATATTATATTCAAAAAACTACAACATCATTTGAAAAGAGTATTTTATAGCATGTTCTTTTATCTTTCTTTATTCATACCGAGTTTTGAAAGCCAATCAATATACAGCTCACCTTCGTATCTAGATGTTAATGTGGGAATGTGGATATTGATTAAAAGAAGACAATCACTCACTCTTCTTATCCCAAGTCGTCAAGATAACGCATAAGCAGTTTGTTCTATCCACTTTTGATTGACTAGTTACTATCAAAATAATTAAATTTGTTGGCTTTATCAGTATATTTTTCACTCATTTCATTTAAATCTTCAAATATTCACTGTTTTCAATCGTCTACAAAAAAAAAATAACAAAATCTCTATCCGACACGTTCATACCAAATGGCGCAATGTTCAAAATTAATCTGGTAAATAATAATTGCACGTACTCACTCTTACTCTCGTGATAGTTTTAATGAATTCAATCAGTATGTACCGATTGATGGATGCGGAACATAACTGACGAAAACTGCCGCACAGAATTGAAGCAATCATAGTAGATTTGCTTAGAAGACCATTCTACGAACTTGCACTCTAATTCTCAAGATAGGGAAGAAAAATCATCAACTTCAAGTTTTCTTGTATACATTAATTAGCAAAATATTAAAATAGATTGATCATGATATGATAAGCAATGTTTCAAATACAGTTTGTTCATTTGACCAGGATTCACATTCTTCAAGCTTTATTTCTACTCGGATCCTGGCAGCGTCCCCATGCAAATAGGTAACATCCATAATTTTTAAGGTCGTGTATGGCATAATCAAAACTTTTTTCTCGTCTGGAAAGGCTGATATCTCTTCGAGATTAAGTCTATTTCTACGACTTCGAACCCCATACATACATTAAATACTAATAGTGTTGCTTGAAGCTGAGCTATCAGCGAAGTTGATGGCGACGTTACGATCTTTCGACGAGGAAGGGAATGATTTTGTGAGAATATGTGATTCTTCTTTATACTTGCAAAGTTCACTCTTATTTATGATCATGCTACGAGAGTACTCGCCACAGAAACTGAATTCATCCAAGCGAAAATAGTGACTAATGATTTCAACAATCGAAGCACATTATTGATTGACTTTGACTTTCGCTGATTCAGTCTCATTCAACCATACTTGTGCCAAATTTACATTTCTTAGTCGATAGAATTCGGTCTCGACGATGTATGCTTGAAGACAATACCTCGGACCTTTTTCATTCGTATCATTATCGAATAAGTAGCTAATTTGGTCTATATCCGACTTTTTCTTTAGTTCTTTTCCAATATAATTGTGACGAGCGTCAGTTATCAGTTTATTCAAATCGGCATCTTTGCCACTTAGCTCGAAGCATTGTCTCATGTTTCACCAGGTAATCAGCATTAGCTCCAACTAGCATCCATTCAATACCAGTTGAAACACCTTCGAAACGTTCTCCATGTTGTCTCTTGCCTAAAACACAGTTCAGGAACATAGCTTATTAAAACATCTTTCTCGTAACGATACATCATTTTCTAGATTGGAGCTGACCGTTCTGCGAATTCAAAACAAAATTTATCGATCACAAGATATTGTCTCAGATGACATTTCATAACGTGCAACTGATATACGATGCAAAAACAAAATGTTGAGCATTATATTTCTTCCATAAATGCGTTCTAAAAAGAAAATTTTGATATCAGCAAATAGGAAATTTTCTCCTCTTTCGAATGGTGTATGATTTATATTTCTATACATTCGTAAATGAAATGAGGCGAAAAAGAATGAGAAAGACTTGTACAATACATTTGCAATTTTTATACGAATAAGTCAAAAACGTCGGTAGATGGCAGTTAAGCAGGGTGTGGATGTAGATTACGAGAAAACCCACATCCACACCCTTTCTCGAGTATTCTTGCTCATTCCTAGACATAACCTGCTGTTTATCAAGAAAAAACGATATGTACATGAAGAAGGTCACAGAATTTTCTATTGGCTGTTGCATAATAAGAGTGAAAATGGAGATAGCATTCAGCAGAGTTTTCGAAGGGTAGTTTGCTGCAAAAGGACGCGATTACCTGAGTTCTTTCCTTTTATCATTGTTTTTTGGGTGTTTTTTTTTCGTACGCTTTCTAGTGAGGATTTTCGTCTCGCATTTGTTGATCAGGAGAAATACCCTAGTCAGCTCATGAAATGTGGTTCAGATGTTTATTGTCTCTGTGTTATGCGAGTCTCTGTAATAGTGCGATCTCTGTCCTGTTTTATTATTGATTAATGTAAAACTTCCAATAGAAGTAACACCACGATCATGGTGACGTATTGCGTTGTTGTAGCTTCCTATTGATCCAAATGTTGTATTACAAGAGCTTGCGTAGTCATTTTTTCCGCTATCCTAAAGATGATTTTGACGAGGATACTATTCATATATCAAATTGAATCCAATTGTGAAATCAAAACCAGTTAGTCATACGCCTGCAGAAGTAAAATTTAACCGACCAAGATAATGCTCCTCTTACCTTTTATGTTGATGTTTAATCACTAAACGCTTGTCTGGGTTTTTATTGTGAAAATCGAATGATGATTGACAGAAAACTTTTGTTTCTGTGTTATATATATAGAAGAAATCCTTTTTGAAATATTTTCCTCGTTTTTGAATTCATAATAAGTACTTCAATCTATATTTGGATGCAAATTCTAATTAGGCAACTATACATCACTGCAATAACCATGACGTATGATACCTATAGTCGGCGCTAAGGCATAATGGGAGCAGTTGTTTTGCTTTAATTACTCGTTAATGATGAGAAATATATTTTGCAAGTAGAAATTGCTGTTCGGTGATTAGTTTAGGCGAAATTAAATAAACTTTTTATGTTATTTTGTTCAAGTTGTCAGAAAGTGAATCATATACACGAAGAGAAAAATAGAACTGACGATGTTTTTAATGTTTCTTTCTTTCTTACTTACCAAAAATAAAGTACGAGTTGTTCCGAAAGAATTCGAGAAAAAATAAACAAGTTCTGAGACAAGGTATTCAACGGAATGATACCTAAATCATTGTACAGATGAAAAGCTAACGAACGTTAGAAACGATAAAGATACAATAAATGATTTGTAGAATTTTTTTTTCTTTATTTTTTTACTCACAAGTCTATTTTCAATTGAAATTAATTAAGTAGGATTTATTATTAAGTTTCAACCAAACAAACACACTCGGCTTTTCTGTGTTAGAAACAGGTAGAAAAAAAGTACAAAAGCAATGACTCCATGCATAGAAAAAGTTATGTTTGTCTAAACTATAAACAGTTATTCAGCATTCTAGACGATCGATTAGGAGATTAGTCGTGTGCAACAGGAGTGAACAAAATTTCAAACAATAAAATTCTCTATCAATCATGGATGCCGTTGCGTGTAGGACAGCATCACCAAATACTATTCAAACAAGACGCCGCATCGTTCAGAATTATTTCCTCATCTGGATCGATGATAATATTGATGAAGCAAATAAAGATTGTCAAAATACAATCGCGGAATTACGTAAAGTCGTTAACGACGTTAATACTTTCACACAGTTAGATGAATGTGTTGACTTTCTCACTGAAGTCAATGATGGAAAGGCGTTTCTCATTATAGCCGGTGCTATGAGCCAACACATAGTGCCTCTCGTTCATGATATTGCCCGTCTTGACGCCATTTACATCTTTCGTGGGAACGAAGCACAACACAAAGAATGGCCAAAAGTTCAAGGTGTCTTCACTGAAATTCAACCAATTTGCGAATCATTAAAAAAAGTCGCCTTCGAATGCGACAATGATGCAATACCGATGAGCTTCGTTCCGAATAGGATGATGGCAACAGCAACAGCTTTGGGTCAAAAAAATCTCAATCATATGGAACCATCTTTTATGTACTCAGTATTATTCAAAGAAATAATATTGGAAATCCATGAAGATGATGCCAAATCCATAAAAGATTTAGTAGCCTATTGTCATCAGCAGAACATCTCCGAATCCAAATTAGAGGAGTTTCAGCGTGAGTATCACAAAACAAAGTCAATCTGGTGGTATACTCGTTCAACTTTTCTCTACAGCATGCTCAACAAGGCTTTACGCTTGTTCGATATAGAAGCCATGACAAAAATGAGCTTTTTCATCCGCAGTCTTCATCAGCAATTAGAAGACCTGCATAAAGAACAATCGAGTACGTATATGAAAGAATTTATCGTTTATCGTGGTCAGGGACTTTCTCATCAAGACTTTGAACATCTCCTGGATACGAAAGGTGGTCTCCTCTCATTCAACAATTTCCTGTCGACTAGTAAAAAACAACAGGCAGCTATGCTATTTGTTCAACGAACATTACGAAAATATGAAAATATGATTGGTGTTCTGTTCATTATGACCATCGATCCCGGTAAAATATCGGCATCAACTACTCCTTTCGCTCTCATCGATGATTATAGTGCTTTTCCACAAGAACAAGAAATTCTCTTTTCAATGCACACTGTTTTTCGTGTGGGAGATATCAAACAGATGGCAAATAATAATCGTCTCTGGGAAGTTCAATTGACTCTTACCAACGACAATGATCCCCAACTAGCTATTCTCACTGAACACATACAAAGGGAGCTCATTGGATCTACAGGATGGTATCGATTGGCGCATTTGATGCTCAATGTAGGTCATTTCAATTCAGCTGAAGAACTCTACGATCAATTACTCAAGAACGCATCCACTGACATTGAAAGAGCTTTTATCTATCACCAGATCGGAGAGGTGAAACGCAGCAAAGGGCAATACAAAGAAGCAATTTCATTTAATGAGAAATTTCTCAAAATTTACCGACAAACTCATCCGGAAAATGATTTGACAGTGTCTACTTGCTATAACAATATTGCTATTTCGTACGAAAACATGGGTGACTATTCGAAAGCACTTGAGTTTTATGAAAAAGCACTTACAATAAGAGAAAATGCTCTGCCGCCGAATCATCCGGATTTGGCAACTTCCTACAACAATATCGGTGGACTGTATAACGACATAGGTGAACACGCAAAAACACTTGAATTTTACGAAAAATCACTTAAAATAAGAGAAAAAGCCCTGCCTTCAATTCATCCCGATTTGGCGACTTCGTACAACAGCATTGGTCTAGTGTATAATAACATGGGTGACTACTCGAAAGCACTTCAATTTTACGAAAAAGCATATCAAATCTACCAAAAAGCTTTGCCTCCGAATCATCCTGTTTTGGCTACTATATGCAACAACATTGGTTTAGTGTCTCACAACATGGGTAACTACTTGAAAGCACTTGAGTTTTACGAAAAAGCACATAAAATATACGAAAAAGCTCTGCCTCCGAATCATCCTGAATTGGCTACTTCCTACGGCAACATTGGTGGAGTGTATAACGACATGGCTCAATACTCGAAAGCACTTGAGTTTTACGAAAGAGCGCATAAAATCTTCGAAAAAGCTCTGCCTTCGAACCATCCTGATTTGGGTACTTCCTACAACAACGTCGGTGGAGTATATAGTAAGATGAGTGAATACTCAAAAGCACTTCAATTTTACGAAAAAGCGCACAAAATCTTCGAAAAAGTACTGCCTCTGAATCATCCCGATTTGGCTACTTCCTACAATAACATCGGTGGAATGTATAAAAACATGGATGACTACACGAAAGCACTTCAATTTTACGAAAAATCCCATGAAATAATCGAAAAAGCACTGCCTCCGGACCATCCTCATTTGGCTGGTTCCTACACAAACATCGGTGGACTGTGTATAAGTCTGGGTGACTTCTCGAAGGCCCTTGCATTTCTAGAAAAAGCACTTGCTATCTATCAAAAATCACTTCCATCTTCACATCCTCAAATTAAAAACGTGATAATAGGGATTGACATTGTAAAAAAGAAAATGTAAATTTGCTCGTTTTTGTTCTGGCTTGCTCATTAAATTCGTTTGGATTACTGTTCACTGCTTTTGGTTGCTTTTAACTCTTGGTCGCACATGCAACCAGTGAGAGTCTCCACATGCTTGAAACAGGTACACTTAGCGCAGACCATGCTGGACTAATCCGACTATCAGCGTGAGTATCACGCACAAAAACAACGATAGGGACGTATGCCGTAGTGGCCTTCCTAAGTATTACACTTCTATAGCCATAATAGTGCATTGAGTCTCTCTCACTGAACCAGACTACGAAACTGTCCTACAAGATATAACACAAATAAAATAGCATGCACTCAAATATTCTGCACATTGATATATCTAGGTAATAGATAGACATAACATAAAATTGCATCAGGAATAGATTGATATATATATATATGGGCGAATAGCAAAATTATTGTACCGTTATATTCTTATATATAAAATTTCAATAAGTCGAGTTCTTCTCAATCAGTTTTTATGATTTTTTCAGGTTATATTCCTCTAACAAGTTCTTACTACCACACAAACAATCACAAATTTATCTCAAATCAGTCTCAAGATATTAGGAGTACAATGTTAAATAGTCCGATTTTGACTGTCACCTATTGGAAGAAAATGCCACATAACCGATTAGTTCTGCTTTCATTTGAACTTCCAAAGTTGACAGACTATATGCTACATAAATACACTACAACAACAAGCTCAAGATAAATCTAATAGTTTCATAATGTCATACAAGAACACATTTCAAATGCTTGTATAAAAATGATGATTTAACAAGCAAGATATTTTTGGTTCTCATCGATAAATTGTTTGACTGCATATTTTCCAGAAGATATGCGAAATTTACATTGCAAAAATATAAATAAAAAGATTTCTTCTAGCAGATAAAGTCGTTGAACTAGAACAAGAAAGTGTTTGGACTTTAGAATCAGGATACATTTATAGAGTACCATAGATTATTTCTTCCATAACTCTACTTAACTGAAAGATGCATTAGTTTTTCGTTGTTTTGAACCACCTCATATCTCCTTGCATTTACAACAACCATTAAAATACAATTCAGTTATTGGCAAAATACATGAAATATTATTTTTATGATAGATTTTTTAAAAGACTTTGTTAATATTTAGCAAAGTTGAGCAGATGAAACAAAAAAATTATTTTGTACCTAATTATTCACACAACATTATGAAACATACAGGGTAGCCAAGAAATAGCCGGACAGTCTTTGATTGTGAATGATTTTTGATAGAAATAACATAGAGGTCTGTGTCTTTCATTGTTTAACAGAGGCTGTCCCACTGCATAAGGGTTATCCAAAAGTCATCGACTAGTCTTTAATACCAAAGAATTCTTGACTTCTTGTTGAATAACACAATAAACTATAGAGTGAAACTGTCTCCTTCGATTAGTGTAGGGTGAAGTGAGATAGCCTCTTTGAAACGATAAGAGGCGCAGCTTTCTATCTTGTTTGTATCAAAAGTTATTTGCAATCAAAAAGACTGCCCGATTACTTTTAGGTCATCCTGGAGATCTACATCTCTATTACATTTCAAAACTAAATCATTGATCAACTTGTTTTTCTATGAACAAAGAGTTATCGAAAAGAAGAAAAACATTTTAACAATCACCTTTCTTATTTATTGAATTTAAGGTCTAATAAATTCCTGTCATAGCGTAGAATAAAAAAAGAGACGCAGAAAAAATTCACATATGAATAATCATTCGAAAAACTCATGAGTTTCTTGCATTATCTCATCCATATTAATATTATAAAAATATAGACGTACTATAATAGTAAACTCGGAATAATTCGCATTCGACTAACTACCGATCAAAGCAAATCTGTACCTACATTAGTATGGGGTTCTGGGTGGATATATGAAGACGGAAGGCAAACGAGCGCACTAACTTTGTCTATGAATTTATTCGCTTTACAATGAACAACTGAACAAAATGTTAAAGTTGATCTATTCAATTGAATTGAATCAGACACTTTCGACGTTGAAAAAAGAGTTGAGAAGAGTCGCGCAATGGTAGTAACGATCATAAGTTGAATGTGACAAACATATATAACCTTGATTAATATTTAATTTTTCGGATATGCACTACTAATTGATCTGTTAGTAATGTTAAAAAAAATCAATTGGAACCATTTGGGTTTTCATCATGCATTCGTCGATAAATTCATTTCATGCTAACAATTTCTACAAGTAGCAAAAAAAGTAATACTGTGAAGCATACCAATCAATACAAACGCATATTCATCTAAATTTAGAAAGGTTCGATACGGTTCTCTTTGCATGATTTTTGAACGTATTAGTCTTTAAGACGATGTTTTTTTAAAAAGCAAAGTGCTCATCTCTACTTAGCATATTCAGGAAATGCTAGATCAGTATCTAAACTCGCTTACTGCACTTTTCTTATACATTCTATTGTTTATAGTTGCACCTTTTTTTTTATGAATCAATGATCGATGAATAGGCATTCAAATATTTTAACTGAAAGAAATATGTCCCTAGCACCAGGAAACAACAGGTAGTAAGAAACAACATTTATTGGATTTAATTTAAATCGAACGAAGTCATATCTCCTTTAAAAACATTTTTCAAAAGCAAAATCTAAATTTTTATCCAAATTATGGTTTATTACACAAGTGAAGGAATGAAATGCTAAAGTAGATTGAACTAGCAAAGGAACATTCCCAAGTCGCTCGTGACTTAGTACACCTTATTGAACTATGTCTATCATTGAAAAAATTCGTGTTTATGACCTGTTTCTTAGAAGATCGAATGCTTTTTAATCATATTTTGTTGTACGACCTCATATTTTTTAATTTCGACCTGTGTCTTAGCTAACATGCGAAACTCAGTGAGATTTGATTGCATCAAAAATTTCTGGATTTTTGGATTAAGTCTTTTTGAGATATGAAACTTTCAAAAAATAAAACAACATACTGTATATACTATCTTTAGAAGAGCATCTATATTTAAAAAGTTGTACATTTCAGAGAGAGTTTGTCTGAAAATTCAGAAATTTTCTATACAAGCTATTCTAAATGAGTCCTTTATGTGACCAAAATATCAGATCAAAATTCGAAAATATCGTTTGATGGCAAATGTGAAAACCTACAGCAAAAATTCACTACAAATGTTCGACACCTAGAAATGCACCTTCGTGAGTACAATATCCTTTTAGAATTGATAAAAATATCAATAAAATATTTCTTTATTTTTATTAAACTTATCGTTCGTCATACCAACTTTTTCCTACTGACTTAATAGAAAAATAAAAGAACGAAAAATGGAAGAAATGTGTTTTGAGCACCAAAAAAAGGTGAAATGAGCACCAAATTGATTATATGTGTTTTGAGCACCAAAAGAAGGGTGAAATGAGCACCAAAATTGATTATATGTGAAAAGAGCACCAAATTGATTATATGCGAAAAGAGCACCAAAAAAGGGTGAAATGAGCACCAAATGAACAGAACAGTACAAAAGGTATCAAATTAAGATTTAAACGAATCACGATTGCAGTTCATAGGTACTTAGCTATTAAATTGTGATAAGCTCTACTCTTATTCATTATTCCAATGACAATTCATAAATAATCTAATTAATTGGAGTAATGATTTGTATATACAAGAAGTGTAGAAAAAAGTAAAAATTACAATAGCAAAAACATGTCAAGCAAACAATATTAAATTTTAAATATTGTCAATACACTTGACGAAGCTGATATTATCCTAAAGTAGCATAATGTATCAACTTCCACGGTGGACATCATTCGTCGAATTTGTTATTTGGTTGAAATCTTGCTAGCTTGTATGCCCACTTAATTCATGTATATGTCCAAATGGGTTGAAATCTTATGTATGCAAACATTCAATTGGTTTGGGTATGCTGCTCAACAAATACGAACTTAATGATAAAACTCGCTTAGAATTATTGGGTAAACGACCTGGCAAAGGCAGATCGAAAAAAGTTCGAACTACTCTGTTATCATGAAGTTTTTTTTCATAATAATCATATTTACATAATATTTATTTATTACCTTTTTTGTGTTCCTCATGTTGTTTTGTGTGATGTGATGACATTATTTATTTTCTTATTTCACATATAAATAAATTTGGTGCTCATTTCACTCTTTATTTGGTGCTCTTTTCACATATAATTAATTTGGTGCTCATTTCACTCTTTTTTTGGTGCTCAAAACACTCCCCACCCACGAAAAATAACAAATACTTCAGACATTACATATATGAAGCAAGTGAGTATACAATCAGGCAATTTCTTTTGCCCGTTCTTCTTTTTTTTTCTTGTGTTTTTCATCGGTACACCTACACGTCTCTTATTTATTTTCGTTTTTCTTTTCATAATAAACGATATGAGTCATCTATATATAATGAGCTATATTAAATAATTATTAGCACATTTTTTCTTAGATTGATTCACAATAATTATTTGAATGGATGTGTAAGTTAATGTTTTCGTTAAAAATAAACTTTAGATTAGATACATGTCACAAATTTATATGTTAAACTTATGATAAGTACAAGGTATGCTGTTTTCTATTACGTCAAATGTTGAAAAACAGACCGATGAATATCAACTAGAATGTTTGTTTGTTCCTATGCGATAATTTTATTATATCGATCGAAAAAAAAAAGTTTCAAGTAATTATTTTAGTAAGAGATGAAAATATTTTTCATTTATTTCAGAAAAATTCATTGAATATGACTAATCATATATTATCAGAACCAATATTAAAACGACGACGAATAATGATTATTAGTGGCGATGAAAGTGTTATAGATGAAATTCAAAAAAATAATAATATTTCGTTATGTAAATCAATTATTTTGGATACTATAGATGAAGATATTCAAATTTCTCATCTCAAAGTAAAATTCCAATTATTTTTTGTAAGAAAATAAAATTTATTTTCAATCTAGACACAAACTACAAATCAGAAGAAACAAAAGAATGTTTCATTGATTTGTGCTATTTGTGGTTCAACTGCAAATGGATATAATTTTGATGTTATTTCATGTGAAAGTTGCAAATCTTTTTTTCGTCGTAATGCTTTAAAAGATCCAGTAAGATTAAGATCATTTTGTTTATGTCAATGAATATTCGAGAAAATTGTAGATCTTGTTAATTAAATCCAATCTTCAATATTAGACTTTCCTTGTAGAAGTAATCAGAAATGTCAAAAGAAAAAGTTTAAAGAAATTTATTGAATATACGAAATCGTAAAGCAAATCGTTTTGTATAAGATAAGATTTCAACGAGATTCCTACGTACGAAGAATCATCGCTAAGAACTAAACCAGGAATTTAAAATTTTGTTTCCATTGAAGCTCTCCGTAAAACTATAATAAAGTTTAGTCGTAATCCGTACAAATGTCTTTGCTTTATGATTTTTACAACAATTCTATCATATCCTACATCTTGAGTATATTTCGTGTGTGGATATTTAAAAAGAACGAATCTCAGGAAAATTCTCAGATTTGGTTTCTACGAAAAAATCCTATATTCATACATTGATCCGTCATCATCATAAATTCAAATAATTTCCTTTGTATGATTAAACAGTTTTCATTTATATGAAAATAATAGTTTGGAAAATCACGAATACCAAGTATCTTTGTAAGTTGTTTCTAACGGGCAAATATGTAATAGACGATCAATATTTTAACTGATTCTTTTTCCTTTCTTCTATAATGTTTCTCTAGCCACTTAAATGTCTACATCAAGGTACTTGTGATGTTAGTCTTAATTCGCGTCGTCATTGTTCGGCATGTCGTTTAACAAAATGTTTCAATAGTGGAATGCGACGTGAACGACTTTTAATAGTATGAAAAGAAAATCAAACAAAAATTTCTTTAATTAATTAAATTTTGTATTTTTTAGGCCGAACAAAAATCAGAAATACGTCGTCATAGACAAGAACATCAAAGTTTAAATATAAATACAACTGAACAACAAGTTCAACTATCACCAAGTTTATCATTCAATGACGTATAATCATCTTTTCTTTTCATAATATTAACTTATTATTATTTATTTTTATTTAGCTATCTTCAATATTAGATCAAGAACTTTCACTTTTTTCTGAATGTTTACAAAATCATTCTGTACAATCTAAAAAAGCATTACTTAGTCCAGAAGATTTACAACGTTTAGAATCAATACCATTCTTTTATCAAAAACGTATTGAACTTGGTAAGAGAAATTCATTCTATTGAGAATTATTTTCTTTTATGTTCATAGCTCGTGATGGTCTTCCATCGAATAAAATCATGTGTACAACAACATTTCTACAACAACTTAATAGTCATTCAATTCCACTTATAAGACTTTTAACATTTTTTAAACAAATACCAGAATTTAATGAATTAAATGTTGATGATAGAGTTACATTAATTAAATTTAATCTTCTTCCACTTTTATGTATTAATTGTACACTTTCATATAAATCTGAAACAGATCAAATAATTGAAACTGATTCTGATATACCATGGGATCCATCTGTAATTCAAACAGTTTATGGTATGGATGGTTATAATGAATTGAAAAAAATTTTTGATCAATTTTTACATATTGCAAAATATGATCAAAAAATAATTCAATTAGCACTTATTACTTTTATGCTTACAAAAGGTTTTTCAGTAGCTATTATTGATGAACCAATATTAAATGATAGTATGGCTGTATATCGTGCACAAAATTATTATATAGAACTTTTATGGAAATATATGGAAACAGTTCATGGATCTGATATAACTATTCAAATATTTAGTAAACTTATAGCACATTTTATGACATGGCAAGCATTACAAATTAAACTTCGAAATATTATTGAACAAAATTTATTATCAACAAATATTAATGAATTATTACCATTTATGAAAGCAATATTACATATTTCATAAAATTTTATAATTTATATATGAATGAAATTGGTTTTAGATGTGAAAAATTCATATGAATAAAAACAATTGTTCATTTGTTTTCTATAAAGAGAATAAATCGATTTTTGTTTTTATCAGTAAAATTAATCTTATTAGTAATATTTTATTGCATAAACTTGATCAAATAATTTATGCAATAATTACTATGATTGGTATATAATTCAGCATGCATCGAATATCAACGTTCAATTTCGGTGCATGTTTATATAAAGCTGAAGAAGATGTTTATTGACTTTTGAATAAGAACTAAATAAGAATAGCATTTATTAAATAAAAAGAAAAAATGATGATTATCTTTGAAATTTTATCATCTCACTTTCTGTAATATTCTTAGATGTCAAAATCATTGCATAGAATTAATTAGAAGAGAAAAGTAGAGTAATTTCCACTTTGTTTATTCTATATTCGCTTGCGGAAGACTTTTATTTTAACATNACATTAACTTATGGTCCTCAGATACGGGTGTAAATAATAATGGGTATGAATGTGTAGTCATCTATCAGTAAATTGACTCTAGGTCCTTCAAAGTTCTATGAAAACAGGGTTTACTATATACCATTTGATGCGGCTCGAAAAGGTCTACAATATGATATATTTGTTTCTTATTTCTGAACCGATGTACCCCATCCGACAAGGCCCTTTAAATGGCGGGACACGAACTTTTGGTACGCCGAAGATAAAGACTTGTTTGAATCTTCATAACTCATATAGTCTTGATTCAAAAAGCGATTTATCAGTGAGAGTGATTCTTTTGTTAGGAAATAATTTCGTTTATCTTATTATATATTTATTAATCATTCATTTGTATTACTATATAGCGGCTCGTGATGGTCTTCCATGGAATCCATCAATTTATACAAGTACTCTATTACAACATCTCAATGCTCGTTCAGTATCAGCTATGAGACTTTTATCATTTTTTAAACAAATACCTGAATTTAATGAATTAAATGTTCAAGATAGAATAACTTTAGTCAAATACAATTTAATGCCACTTATCATTTTGAATTGTACACTCGGATATAATACAGAAAGTCAAAAAATTATTGAAGCTGATTCAGATGCACCTTGGGATTCAACTATACTCATGAAAGTTCATGGTCATGATATATATATGAAAATTAGAAAAATCTTTGAATCATTTGTACGTATTGCACAATATGATCAACGTATTATACAATTAGCACTTATTATACTTATTTTAACAAAAGGTTTTTCTACAAGTGATGGATTAACTGAACCTATACTTAATGATGGTATAGCTGTATATCGTGCACAAAATTATTATACAGAACTTTTATGGAAATATTTAGAAACAATGCATGGATATGGAAAAACTGTTCATATATTTAATGAACTTGTTATTCATTTTATTTCATGGCAAATGCTTCAAGGATATCTTCATCGTAATTTATGTAATGTATTAACACCAACAGAAATGAATGAATTATTACCGATTATGAAATCATTGTTACATATTCCATAAGAAAATCTGTGTGCGTGTGTGTGTGTGTGTTTTGAATTTCATTGTATTTAGTAGAAATCAAGCAAAGAGTTTGTTCTTTTTTTTTTTGTTTTTAATCTGTAATAGTTATACGCTATTTCTTAGTGTTATATAACCATTAAAACATCCAATAGATGTTTTTGTATGATCATAAAATTTAATTTTAAATTTATATTGTCCATTTGTAAATAATTGATGTTCAAATAATTGTGGTTTTATTGGAATACGAATATGTTCTAATGTATGACTTCCGGATGATAATTGACAAGTTTTTTTACAAGAATTTATTGAACTACATGAATTTTGAATAAGTGTACATAAAGATTGTTCAGAACAATGATCAGTTATACAAGGTAAATTAATCCATATTGGACCTAATTTTCGTTCAATTTTAATTGTATATGTTGATTGTATTGTAGAATAATTTCGATTTAGATAAAATGATAATGAAACATCTAAATCACCTGGTATTTCCAAATAGTTTGACCAAAGATTAAATGAAAGAATATCAAATACATTATTACTATTATCACATGAATTTAAATCAATATCATTCAATTGAATAGAATAAGAATTTAGCGATAAACATTGATTAATAATTGAAAGAAATAATGATAATAATAATAATACGTTTACATACATTCTCATTATATGTCTATGATGCGAAGAAAAGAAATAACCATGTAAAATATATATATATATATATCTTTTCGATATCCGTTCCCTTTTATTTCTTTATTTACCGCTGCTAAGAACATAAAAAGAAAAAAAACACGAACCACCAATATAAAAGATTCATTACACCGTTAAAAAAAAGTCCATAAGCAATATTTGTTTATGTCAATGCCGAATGTAAAGGGAGTGCAGGTTCGTCAATAGGGCCAAAATCAATAAGAATAATATGTCGAACATTTTGTGCTAATGGATTCGAATTTGTTATTGGTGGTGTTGTTGTTGGTGTACTAACTATTGATGAAATTCCAACAACACGATGTTCAATAACAAAAGCAGCCTAAATGATATGAAGAATTTTGTGTTTGTTTTATATAAAATAAAAATAAAAAAAATTGAAACTAACTCGAATTTTTTTTACATCAGAATTTTTTATTTTAATAAAACATCGAATAGCAATTTTAGCAAATTTCCGATAAATAACTAAATCTTTTGAATCATTTTGACGTAATTCATCATTAATTTTTGTATCAGTTTCATTTGGTTCAACATGTGCATGTAATTGTACTGAACGTTCTTTTTCCAAAGGAAATGTTAATTGACATGTTAAAATATTTTCATCTAATTGATTTATTCGTTGAATTAATTCTTTATTATTATCATTATTTTCTTCACGAATTTCATCTAACGTATATAATTTTAATAGTGTTTTTTCATCAAGTTGATTAATTATTGAAAGTATACATGGATTATTATCATTAATTGACCATGTTGGATGATGCCAAATACGTATCTAATAAACAAACAAAATTTTCATTTTATCGAGCATTTTTTTAAAGAATACTGTCGGATAAGATGAACATCATTCATTTGCAAAGATAATCTTCCTTCAATTTTTATAATGTTTTAAATTTACTAATTGATTACTCTCGGAATTGAAGTGCGTCATCGTCATATCGACCAATTAGTAACTAGAAAAAGCCAATTATTCGAGACCTAAGGACAGAAATGTGTGTCAATTTTGTGATAAATATTTTTGAGTGAAAGATGTGTATGGATCTTTCGAGATTGGCAAAAACAAAAAATTTTCGTTTTCGAACCCCTGAATGTAAGTACAAAAATGTTTCCTACGAACTTCGAGTGTGATTAGGGTATGGAGCTCTTTTATATTCAATATATATTCAGTTTCTTATGAGAAAAAAACTATATTGCATGTCCTCGTACCTCCCCTCAAGGGGTTTTAATACCAACAAAGTTATTGTGAGAATTATTAAGTATACACAAAAAGAAGACCGTATAAAACTCTATGGATTTAACTGTAAACAAAATTTTATATAGATTGATTTCAGAACATACTAACGAGGGAACCATCCGAGGTGTCAAAAAGCTTTTCAGTCGGGGATATGATGGTTAGATCGGGCATAGCTAGGAGTGCTATACCCTAAGTTAGTTCGGGCACAAGTTGCTTCTAGCAGGAGTTATGAANGTTTTGTCCTTACAATAGTGGAGAAAACCTTCCCTGATTCATTTTTATACCTAAATTTCACATTTCATAACTCCTGCTAGAAGCAACTTGGGCCCGAACTAACTTAGGGTATATCACTCCTAGCTATGCCCTATCTAACCATCATATCCCCGACTGAAAAGCTTTTTGACACCTCGGGTGGTTCCCTTGTAAGTCATATTACCCACAATTGCTATAAAATCCTTTCACTGATATTTAGCTGCTTAGATTGCTAAAACTTGATGAAAATGCGACTTTCTCTATACCATTCGATTCATCACAAATTATTCTACAAAACTGTATAGATGACTTTTCATATGAATGATGATTATCTTATCTGATAGAGTTCTTTAAGTTTTTAGTTTAATACTTCAGGAATAAAAAATAATGCCATTTGATGTAATTTAAATTTAATTAATTTTGGTGATGGTTCAGGTTTAAGTACATTATGATCACATTCTTTACAACGTTTTGATTGTTTTGATGTAAAATGTTTAGCTAATGGATAAAGATGATCAATTGTTAATGGTTGAGATTCAACTGAATTTAAACGTTGTGTAATTGTTGTTAATTTATTAAAATCAAATGTATTATTTAGAAAAAAATTTTCATCAAGTGGTTCAATATTTTCAATTATTTCAGATGGTTTTGGTAATAAATTTGTTGTATTAACTGTTTCAGGTAATGATGGTGTTTTAAGCATTCCACTTGTACGAATACCACGACGTGTTAATGGTGTTAATATACCATATTTATCTGTTGATGAACGATTTGTTGAAGTTGTTATTGTATTACGTAATTTAACTGTTGTATATTTTTTTCTATCACGTTCTTGTTTTTCACGTGTTGCTATTTGTTTATAATGTAAAAGAAGTTCATTAACTCGTCCTTCATGAATATTATCTTGTGCTTTCCAGGAATTTATTGCTGGTTGATCAGCAAGATGTATATCACGTGTTGACCAACGACAAACACTACATGCCAAATAATAGACTTTTTTTGATGGAGTTTGTAATCCACTAGCATTTGTACTATTACTTATACTATCATCAGCATCACCACTAGCAACATTTGTATTATCAGGTGTTATATTTAAATTAGTTGATGGTGTTGATGATGTATTTGTTGCACGTGTTACTAATGTATGATTACAAGATGGACATGAAAAACAATTTTGACAACGATTTTTTCGTGCTATTGCTTCATGGGATTGAAGATGCTCATAACAACTTGGACAAAAACGACAATCAACCTGAAAAGAAATTCAAATGATATATCATTTTTGATCAAAATAAATGAAAACATATAGTTTCTTTGCATTTTATCCTTCATGCTATGGATGTCAGTTTTGCGTTCCCCGTTCCCGGGAACGGAGAACGCATCTCGAAATCGCATTTTCAGCTTTATTTCAACAGGGCAAGGTTTGTAGATGTGTTCACTTGTGTTTTTATGTTTGGTTGTTCCGCGTTCCCCGTTCCTAGGAATTGGAACGCCGCCCCGTTCCTAGGAACGGGGAACGCAACATACATTCCTTTCGCTTTTAATGGAAGCTTCTTTAAAAAGTGAAAGAAATGTATGTTGCGTTCCTAGTTCCTGGGAACGCGAAACGCTATCCCATTCTCCGTTCGCGTTCCCAGTTCCTAGGAACGGAACGCTAAGGAACGGGGAACGCTGACACCCCTACTTCATACAAAGGAAGTTAGAGTTTGTTTTTATATTACATTTAACTTTCATAGTTTCATTAAAAACTAAAATAGTTTAATGAATTAGTCAAGTTTTGAGAAACTCGATCTAAATGGTGTGTTGAAGTATATAGGATAGAAATTTGCACGACTCATCACATATGTTGATATACGATCAAAGACCGCATATAAATATTGTCTTACTCTATACATTTTCTTTTCACATTTTTGGGGATGATTTAGTAAAATGATGGTAAAGAAATATGTCCCGAAATAAATAGAATAAAATAATCTCCTTGTGATTAGCAGCAGCAGCAACTACATCGGATTTTTCTGTAGGGATTACGATCATAGCTCTCTTTATATTGAGTATTATGATATGATTATAACAGAAATTTGGTCTTATACCTATTTGACTGAAATTTTCTTGTTGTTTTTTATTTCCTGAATGAGATGTAAGAAAGAAATATCAAATATCTACTAATTAAATTAGCCACAAAAAATTTCCTCATCACTACATGGTGATACCGTGTTGATATGTGTTTTTTTTTTTCATTTGTTCTTCTCACTTACCGGAATCCCTAGGATAAGAGAACACATAAGTTTACTGACTATTGACCTCGCTTGAGTGATTCTCTGTCGCTATTTCTTCCATCTCTTGTGTAACGATTGATAAACTATTAGGTATACAACCGTTACTCGGCATAAAGAAATTTGTTTATTCATCAAATAATTTCAGTAAGTGATGAAACTACAGTAGTTAGATAGGTATTTTCACGAAGTACATGTGATATAAAAATAAGCTTCGTTTATTTTACTCGTAGAAACATGATAGAACAAGTTTTAAGAATGATATCTAATTAGAATTAAAAAGAATAAATATTTTCACCTTATGTCAAACTGAGTCTATAACACAGAAAAGACTGTTCCCGTTAATGTTTAGTATTATAAACATACTAAAATACTTCACGCTATAGAAGGTCCTGTGGAAGAACGATGCACAGAACCTAATCGAAAATCTTTGTTAACCAAGTGATTTCTTGCAAAATATATTTACATTAAAATATGCCTAATATGAAAAAAAAACAATAGAATATACAGGGTCTTTTATTGTGCGGAATGGCTTAATTCTTCGTATAGTCACAATATAGTATAAATTGAATTCTGTCTATACTAGAACTGAATATGTTTATCTATATGAATTATTTCGAACTATTGCATTTAATTAATCAATATTTATTTTCATTAGAATATTACCTCAAGAGTAACACAATCTTTACATTTAATTTTAAGACAATGTCGACAAAAATAAAGATAACATAATGATTTAAATGATCCACAACTACATTGATATTTTACTCGATGAACATTTAATAATGTTGTCATGATAAAATTATATTTTATATCTAAAATACAAATCATTTTGATATATATATTTATATAGTTTTTCTTTTATGTATAAGTAGCATAAAGCAAAACGGTACACAACTAGTTTTTCTATAATTTTGTTAGCGTACATATTACAAGAATAAGAACAACAACAATAAGGAAAAAAAAAGAGAGAGAGAGAATGAAGATGAAGAGCATGCACTTTACTATTTGTTTAAAACTACAAAATAATCCTATTAAAATTCCCATGATAAATTGATACTATTGTATTTATTATTGGAATCATCTAAACAATTAAATAAATCGAAAATATTTTAATTATTTTTCTTTTTTAATTTTACCGAAGATTTTATCAATATTTGTTGTTGTATTATTTGATTGTTTTTGTTCATAAAATCCAAGAATTCTAGCCATATCATCGGCAAGAGCTTGAGGATCATTATTGAGTTTTTTCAAATGTTTAAGAAATGCATGTGTTATTAATTCATCAACTGAATATCTAAATAATTTCAAAATCATAACAATACGTAGGAAATTATTGGAGACTTCTTTTAGTTAATAAATATATTTCCAAAATGGAGCTTTAATTAGTATATTGATATCAAAATATGCCTAATTTTCAGAATTTTAAGCTTAAATATCTTAAAATACTAAAATAAATGAGATACAACAGAAAATCCGAATTCTCATATTACGGGAAAAAGGTTTAGCATATTTTTCCTAAATCGAAAAACAAGAAAATCATTTTATACATCAGTTTTTAGACCGTGTTTTATTCTACAACATTCTTCACTCGTTTAACTTTTTACCAAGTGCTTTAAAAGATCGAAATCCTTACAAAAAAAAACGTTCTTTGTTTTTTTTTCAAAATACTGTGTCATGTAAAGAATAACTGTTCAAAATATGTGCATAGCTTATTATAAACGATAGTTTTTGTAGAAAAATTAAATTCTTGAGAACATCAAAAAGCTATTTTTAAATTTATTGAAATATTGTCTCAAAAACTAACCAATCATAAAACATAGGAAAATTCTGACTAAAAAAATTTTTTTTCTGTAGGATTAAATGAAATTTTTTTTTACCTTGATTCAAGTCGTGTAGCTACGCAACATCTAACAAATGAATGAAACTCTTTTGTATATCGTCGTCTTTTTATTTCTTCAACATATGCACTAGAATTATCATCACTCAGAGCAATCACTATATAAAATTTACAAACAAACAAAAAATATATAAATCTATCTGTAATAAAATTAACTAATTCAAATACATACTTTCTTCTGTTAGTTGAGTTTGATCAAGTAAAATTGGTTCTGAACCTTGCATTTTAGCATACAACATCTAAACAAATTATAATATCAAAACACAAGCCCTGTTTTTCACATAAAAGATGTGCTGGATAAGTTTTAGTCTCGATCACCAAGACCGGAAGCATTTTAAATTTAACAGAACTATGACTAGAGGTGTACAGTGTTGATATAAATACGGACAGTAAGTTATCGACGCTGTATCTACTTGATAGAGAATTGCGTGTCTGCAGCTTTCTACCGCTGAGGTATCGACTCTACTGATACCTGTGTTCGCTGCAACATCGAGACACTAATTCTATCAAAATATGCCCTTTTTGTAGCGGTATATTTCAGTTGTTTAGCAAACATTGGTGCCTGGTTTGTACTACGGGTGGCCATTTTTTGAATAACTTTTGATAGGAACAAGATAGAGAGGTGCGGTTTTCGTCATTAGAAAGAGAAGACTCGGGCGCATCAAAACATGCTAAAATATGATTGGTTAGCAATGGACCAATCAGGTGCATTCTCGATGTACGTTTTGAGCACTCTTTTCTGGAGCCATTTCTCCACTTAACTTCATTTGTTAATTTAGTTATTGGTAGGAAAAATTGTTCTCTTTCGATCTACGCAAGGCCTACCTTCCTAGCTTGTTCTGTTCAAGAGTTATAAGGGCTTTCCTGAGACCCCTGATTTCAGCCAATTGACCTTGAATCAACCAGAAAACCATCTGGAATGGGGTAATTCATCATGCTGAGTCGAATGGTGATATTTGTTTTTGGATTCGAAACTATCTTACACTGTTTTTTAGAAATTTTCTACATTTCACAATATCTACCGCGATGTATCACATGAGTCCACATTTCGGAAATATTGAGATAATACCGTAAGATGGTTTCGAATTCAAAAATAAATATCACCATTCGACTCAGCATGATGAATTACCCCATTCCAGATGGTTTTCTGGTTGATTCAAGGTCAATTCACTGAAATCAGGGGTCTCAGGAAAGCCCTTATAACTCTTGAACAGAACAAGCTAGGAAGGTCGGCCTTGCGTAGATCGAAAGAGAACAATTTTTCCTACCAATAACTAAATCAACAAATAGAGTTAAGTTGAGAAATGGCTCCAGAGACGAGTGCTCAAAATATACATCGAAAATGCATCTGATTGGTTCATTGCTAACCAATCATATTTTAGCATGTATTGATGCACCTGAGTTTTCTCTTTCTAATGGCGAAAGCCGCACCTCTCTATCTTGTTCCTATCAAAATTTATTCAAAAAATGGCCACCCTTTTTTTATTTTGAAACGGGTATAGTGATGGGAGAATAATCGAGCTCTATTATCTAATTTTTGTTCATAATTTCAAAAGACTTGTTAACATAGTTTATAACTTGAATACAAAAACTTTGAAAATATTTCATTATAAAAATTTTACTTACACTTAAATTTCCAAAAGGCATATCAATATAAGTATTACTACCATTAGCAAGTTCGCATGCAACAGTACCCAAACTATAAACATCACTTTTAAAATTATATCCTTCTGCATTCTAAATAAATTTATTTTAGACATTTATTTTTTTGTGTTTTAAATAGTAAAATTCTACTAACTTGATGAATAATTTCTGGTGCTAAATATAATATTTCATCTTTAAGATTATCTGTATAATCATATATTTGACGTCTTAATTTTCCATCATATGGTGATATCATTGATATACAATGAGAAAAATTATCTAATAAAACACGTCCATCATCACAAATATAGATATGTTTCGAAGAAATAGCACTAGAAAATGATCAAGTCGTTTATTATTATTATTATTATTATTAATTATCGAATATTAAATAGATCTACCGATGTACGATATGTCTATCTTGTAAATAACGAAGAGCTTGTAATAATTGCCACATAATATGAGCAATTAATGGTTCACGTATACCAAAAGGATGAACACATAATAGATCAGCACAAGAGCCTAGATTAAATATAATTACAATATTCTTTCATATGGATCATAATATGAACTTAAAAATGAGTTTTAGATTATTTATACATATTTAAAATGAAAAGATCAAGTTTTTGATAATTACTTATAAATGAAATATAACATAAACTCTCGATATTATTCAATTAATTATATAGACACTATTCGTATATTCGAACATCATCAATTTGTGATAATTGTCGTAGAAAAAAAATTAGAGATGTCTAGACTTAGCTTTCAGCATTTTATGTACATTGGTTTAAAAAAGAAGTACTAACAATAAAGTTTAACAGTTACGATGATATCTACATAAGAATAGAGATGAGTACAGGTAGTACATATTTCTAACAGAAACGACATTGAAGACATTCATAAGGGAAGAGAAAGAACCAAGAGGAGTTTTTCAGTTTGTAAAAAGATTCTTTTTTTTATCATTTGATAATTTTCTTTTTGTTTCACACGTAAATTCAACTGACGGCTTTTTTTTCAATTGCTTCTTATTTTTCAGGATCGATAAGGTTGATTAGATATGTGGTTTGACGTCCGTTCAGTATCCCATATCGAAAAGTAGGGCTATTCTTTCTTCTTATTCATCTTCATGCTCCATTGCTCATGTTCGTATCTTCTACTTTCTTTTTCATACAATCGTATAAAAAGTACTGTTTATTAGTCATTTCATCTAGCATTAGGTTAGGTATCGATTCTCAAAAACTATCATTCTGATTGATTAAACTAATAGATAAATGTTACTTTTTTCTATTAAAAGAACAATCTTATGATATATGTTTGCTGGTTTCATCTTTGTTATTTGAATGAGCACACTCTCACTTATGTAATCTTCGATTCAAACTTAACTTTGTTCTTCATTTACGAGGGAAGTTCTCCAACTGATAAATCGCTTAGGGTTTTAGACTACATTCATTATGTAGACCTAAATAACTTATGAATATCCTGAAGTAGAGACCAGCGGGTCCAGGTTTTTATGGATCCGGACCCGCGAAAAGCAAAATTGTCGGACCCGGACCCGGGTGGTATTAGTTTTCTAGACCCGGACCCGGGCTTGATATATTCGGGCTCGGACCCGTTAAGTGTTTCGCTAATATCTAGCACCCTCTGTATATATGAACAAGTGAAGGCTCATGGTTTTAGCTGACTATTGGTTGCAAGAACAGTTGTCATCAACATCATCATCGACAACCAAAAAGATTCGAACTTTTGGCGACGATCTGTTTAGTGATGAAGATATTATTCATAAAAATAGTGATATATCTATTGAAGACGATGAACAAGAATAAAAACGAAATATTAATGTTGTTTATGATGAAATAAGTACTATATATTTAGGTGTAATCAGAACATGTTATTCACATTCGTCTATTTTTTTCAACTTCATTTGTTATTTGTATGTCAAATGACTTGTTAAATACAATATGAAAAATAGCCAAGAAATTTGGAAACAGAATATAGAAAATATTATACGTTGACCTGAGCCCTTCAATATTTGCATTTTTAGCTGAATACAAACCGGGTCTGAAAGTAAATCACATATGGACCCGGACCCAGACCCGGACCCGGACCCGACCGGGTCTGGACAGACCCGCTGCTCTCTATCCTGAAGAGTTCTTGCCTTTAGCATATATCGCTGCAGAGATACTGCACTATTACAGTAGTTTTAAAATATAGAATATATATTGACTAAAAACTGATTTTTTGAATTTCTACTTGAAACTTTGTATCGATATAAGTCTTAACAGGAATAGTTTCCAGTCGTATGATTTGCTTGTATTTTGAAATAAGAACATCAAATGTATTTGTTTATATGAGCGACATAAAAGACGTGCTATTACCTTAGAATATAAACAAAGAAGACAAGGCCTGAAACTATGCTCATTAACACTTGTCTATCAGAAAAGTTTCAAATTGAAATTCAAAAATCAATTTTTCTGGCTTACAAAATTCATTAGGCTAATGGCACGGACACTTTTTAGGGCATTTATAGTTCATTTGTGCCTACATAGTCTTAACTCAAAAATCATTTATCACCTTGAGAACTTTCTTCATAAATAGAATCTATATTTATGATGCAATTCATTCTGAAAACTTATTTTGTTACTTACCGAATGCAGCATATGGTTTAACAAGATGAAGTTTTGTATCAATAAGAAAACAATCTCGAAGTGACATTAAATTATAATGATTTAATTGTTTATACCATAAAATATCTTTCTAAAAAAACAAAGTAAATAAATAAAAATTTCTTAGAAAATTCCATATTAGTTTTTTATTTTTTCTACGTACAATAAATTCAGTAAGATTTGGCATTTTTTCTAGATCTACTATTTTTAAAGAATATTTTTTATCATTTTTATCTTTATTGTCATTTACTAAATAATTCACAGAACCTCGATATTCATCAGTATTTGAATTAGAACGTTCTAAAATTAAAATCCAAAAAAAAAAGACAAAGAAAATCCAACAAAACAAATTCTTTTCTTACTTAACGTATCAATAATTCGATATGTTAAACAATAATCGTTTGACATTATTTTTTATCTAAAATGAAATCAAAAAGACACAAAAATTAAAAAAAAAAAATATTTCATTCCCAATGATCAAGTATTTCATCAAGTATATTTTTAAATAATTTCATTGTTTCAGTTTCTAATGCAATATCTAAACCATGATCAACTTGTTGAATACCTTGATCAAGTATTGCATTTAATTTATTATCAATTGGTAATCTACCTAAAAACGGAATCGAATATTGTTCAGCTAATAAAGTTCCACCTCCTTGAGCAAATATATTTGTACATTCACTACAATGTGGACATATATAACCACTCATATTTTCAATTAAACCAATTATTTGAAAAGATGTTTTTTGACAAAATGTTATTTCACGTCGAACATCATTTATTGATAACATTTGTGGTGTTGTTACAAGTATTGCACGTAAAAAATTTTTTGCATGTATTTGTTGTTTAAGTACAGTCATAACTGCAATATGTTCATCTGATGTACCTGGTGGTGTATCAATAATAAGATAATCAAGTTCACCCCATTTAACACCTAATAATAAACGTTGAATCATTGCAATTTTTCTTGGTCCACGCCAAATAATTGCATCATTTGAATTATCTAATAATAGTGCCATGGACATTAATTTAAATCTTGAAGAATCACTTGATGACGAGAACATATCGATTGGTGTCATGCCTAAATTACAGATAACTCATAGGTCTTCTTGAGAAAAAAAAATATAATGAATGCAAGTTTTAAGGCGAGGTTATGCAGGTCTCTTCTTACAAATCTTAGCGAGTGTGGTCTATAGTCATGGGACATATTTCCATAACAACAGCGGGAGCGGGGAGGGGAAGAGTTTGGCGTTTAAACGTTGAATAGAGGAAATAACCGGGATGTATTTTATTTAAAAATATAAAAGAAAAAAAAAACGTACTGGTAAATTTATAAACAGATGTTTATCTTTTTTTTTCTCCGATCAATAAAGTTGATCGGACCATCAGCTGATTTGAATTGTCGTTGAAAAATTGCTATGTTTGTTGACTGTTTTGAATTCGATGCCCTAGAAGGATTTGGATTTGTGGTGGTCGATTTATAAAAGATCATAGGTAACATTCGCACCCAATATATACTGCAATTATTTATTTATTCTATTGAATTCTTCCGAAGTTTTCCATAAATTCAACATAAGACTCTTTTTCTAGACTTGCTTTATCATCAAAAGCTATTTGATGATGACTTATGTACCATGCTGTAGTTTTATATTTACTCCGATAATAGAGTGTATCGAGTTATTATTAAAACCGTTCTAACATAATGCGTAACTGCCAAAATTCGAACGCAACAGAAAGATACATTAATCACACGAAAAGACATTGTTTCGTACTTCAAGTATAAATACATTCGTCTGAGCTTCGGCTTATCGAGATATATAACAGTGCGTTGAAACCTTCTATAAATAATTATAATGAATTTATATAATAGGTGTATTTTTCCAAGTAAATTGATGATTCCGATAGGTTTCTATCGGGAAAATGATAGGAACCTGAACGTAGAAAACCCATGATTGAATTTTTCTAGTTCTAATCGTAACCGCTCAAAGTTTGCCATCAACTTCCGAATTCCCAGTCAGACAAAAATTTTGAAAAACGCGTTTAAACGCACAATCGGGAACCGCGATTGTAAGCCATTAACGTTCATTAAAAAAACGCACGAAAACGCGTTTTTTGTAACTTCATGGGCGTTAAAACGGCGACAATTCCCGTTTTTGAGCGTTAAAACGCACTATTATTCTAGAATTTAAAAATAATACGTTTTAACGCCCATAAAGTTACAAAAAACGCCAACAAACGCGTTTTCGTGCGTCCTTTTAATGAGTGTTAATGGCTTACAATCGTGGTTCCCGATTGTGCGTTTAAACGCGTTTTTCAAAATTTTTGTCTGACTGGGTTGGTCCGTATATCTTGAAAGATCATTTCTCTGGTGAACGTGTATTCTAAGAAAACAACTCTAATCTGCCAGAGATTTTTCACTTAATATATTTCATATGAGTAGAATGAAACGAAATAAAACATGTAGTTTCTGTATATTAGCTCCCGAACAAACTACACTGACCAGCTTTTTATCATACCTTCTGCTGTTTCATAAACAACGTTCGATTTGGAACTTTTATCCACACCAAACATTCTCGGAATGGATGGTCCACATAAATCAACATCAAGCAAACCAACTCGAAGACCACGTGAATAAAGTGCTAAAGCAAATTGTGTAGCTACAGTTGATTTACCTAGAATTCCAAAAAAACACAACATAAATAATCAAATTTTATTCAAAAATCTGTACACTAACCAACTCCTCCTTTGCCTGATAAAACCACAATAACTCGTTTAACTTTATCTAAAGCTGACATATCTACAAATTGAAACAAACTTTATCTTTCAAATATCATAACCATATATAAGAAGAAAAAAAAGAAATAACATAATATGTATGCATGTTCATTGTTTTTTTTTTTTTTTTTCTTACAACACACATACGGTAATAAATATAAACAAGACACATAAGCGCATATACAGAGAAAAAAAAATATATATACTGTCAAGCATTTATTTTCTTTTTTTTTTCTTTACACAAAACCGAATATTTTTGTTTTAATAGCATACTGTAATTTTAATTTTAAGATTGCTTTTGATGAATATAATGGAACATATAAACGACTAATACATGTATTTGCTGTTGGCAAATGTTGATCATCAGCTGGTCGAATGGTAACAGATGGTTGAGGTTGAAATCCACCTTCTGATGCCGGTAATGCAGGACTACCAGTCCAAAAATAAACCTATTTATTTATAAGAAAAAAGAAGAAAATAATAAAATTTCATTAGAAAACTTTTCTTTCATCTTACTAAATCTTGTCTTTCCATAGGATTAAATTTTTCTAAGACAGACCAAAACCATTTTTTAAATTGATTTATACGTTCATTTGTTTCACCTAATAAAATTAATTTTATAAAATTATTATTATTTTTTTTTTTTTTACATACCACTTTCATCATTAAATGTTGTATATGTCATTAATGTTGTTATATTTATATTACTTGTACCATTAAGAAGTAAACGAAAATCTTCCGGACTTAAATAATCAAGAGATGTTGATGGTAGAACATCATATACACCCAAACGTAAATGCTTAAATATGAAAAATTAAAATTATTTTCTTTAAAATATATTTTCTATTTACTTGAAGAGATTGTTCAACAAGATGAATCATTCGAAATTCAGCATAACGTTTTATAAATTCATATAGATTAGAATATGTTACATCTTTTGATGAACCATTCGGTATTAGATCATAAGTTTCACCACCCTATGATAAAAAAAAAATAATAATTTATTAAAGTTTCTTTACAATAAATTCGAAGGCGAAAAGGTTTTTTTATCGGATGAATGATGTCTTATTAACATACGATATTAAAGTTGTTCTTGTTTACTTAATGATCTAACCATTCAAATATCAAGAAGGTATACGAAATCTTATTCTATCAGTATATACACAAATGTAAAGAAGGGTTATGGGACGTTTTCGATTGGTGTAAAACACCACCTATAAAAATCAAATCTACGTTAGTCATGTACCCTATCTGACCGACAGGTTCCTCCACCTATATGTTAATATCATTTGGCTAACGAGATAAGTTGCCTAAAATAGGTTTTAAGTTGGAACTATATGTATTATATGGACTTTAATGAATGATGAATATCTTTACATGAGAATAGTTTATTGTGAAAGTTTCAGATCTTTTGAAATTCTTCCTAACAAGGGAACTAATACTCGCTGCTTTCTAAAATGGTTGGTATTCATGGGCCTTTGAAGCCGAACTATGACCGTTTTACGGAGTGCTCAATCCAACTTTAGGTATTCACCAAAAAAAGCAAATAATGGTATTTCCATCTGAAATTTTGTATATAAAAAGGTCGCATGATTAGTTGAATATTTTAAAAGTTTCAGCCGAAAAAAAATCTTTCTTGGTAAAGAAATTGAATTTCAAAAAATTGTTATTTGTCACAAAAGTCGAGTTTATTTTACAATTATCTGATTTTTTTTTAATAAATATCTGAAGTTGGATCGAAAATTTAGTAAAACGATCATCACTCGAGTCCAGAAGCGCATGAGCTCGAATCCTTTTAGAAGTTTTCTACATTTGCCAAGACCTATTCTTGAACACAATATGAGCTCAAACAGTGGGTATATAATTCAAGTCATTTCCCCATAGGGTTCGAACCCTACGCAGAGCATTTATAACTCGCTATGGTTTACATAGTGCATAGAATCTCGACTCAAAAGCGATTAATCAATTTGGAGTTTATCGAATTGATCTCGGACCTAACGCGCTCTATTCGTCTGAGACATGTGTAGAGTGCAATTGTCATTGAATATCTCGTATCATCGGAGTAAATTTTTCATTTCCTATTAGAAAATTTCATCGAAGTACGATCCGAAATTTTTGAACTTAATAGTTTATTGCTTTAATTATAATGAATTATCTTTAATCAAACAAATAGATTATATTAATTGAAGAATTTCAATGTTATGTTTTTTTTAACTTTGATAATAATTTTAAATAAAAAAAAAAAAAAGCTAACCTCTTTTTCTGTAACAGCCATTGAAAATGTCAAATGTAAATCATTAATATATTGTGATCCATTTTTTTCTCCATCATATGCAGTTCGACGTAAATTTTCATACATAGTAGAATCAAAAAAAGCTAAATCATGCCAACGTATAGGTCGATTTAATATATATTTTATTACATGACGACATAATGGTAATGGAAAAAGTTCATTTTGTAATAAACATAAACCAATTAATCTAAAGTAAGAAAAAGAAAAATTATATGATATTATTATTTTTATTTACCTTCCAACATTTCTATAAGCAGTTAAACGTTCAGGAGTATATTTTCCTGGTCTTGGTGCATAAACACCTTTTTTATCTGGTTGCCAAAATAATGGTACATATTCATTTAATTGTTTATCAAATGTAAAATTTTTATTATTATTATTATTATTATTTAATAAACGTTCATTTGTTATTGATGAATCATTTTGTTGTTGATCACGTGTATTAGATGATGTTAAAATATTCATAGCTTCATCAATTTTATTTCTTAAATCTTCATCAACATTAATAATACGTTGTAAATGTAATGTTGGTAAACCTTCTAATAACATACCAGTTATTTTTTCAACATGTAATGGTTGAATAGCTGCAACTTTTGGATAAATACTAAGACCTAATTTTATTTTACTTGGTGTCCAATTTTCAATAATAGATGATTCAGAATTATTTGTTGTTGTTGTTGATTCTGTTGATGATGATAAATTTAATTTAAATGGACGTGCTTCAGATGATAGAAGCATTGATGATGAACGTCGATCACTACGTAAATATGTTGCTAATGCTGTACGTCGTTCACGTGTTAAACGTTGTTGTTGAGATTGTGAAGAAGATACAGAACCGGAAAATGTTTGAGTTGCAGATGATGGACCATATCCACTCAATTCGAGTGCAGGTAATTTTTCTTCAGATAAAATAGCCTAAATAATTAATTTAAAATATGATATAAATAATAGGATTTTACTAGAAATCTATTTTAAAATATTTGATATGGAAGGAATAAGGATTAAGTCTTCAAGACTATGAATTTCTTTTGATATGTTTTGAATGTCTTATATTTTATCGAATAAGAAATTTAATGAAAAATAGATGGTGGTTTTTTTTTCTCAATAAGTTATACTTCTTCATAATTGCTTCAATTCTTTTTTGTTTGTGCCCTGCAATCGAGTCGGATACTCCACAGTACATGAGATCTTAACGTTTCAACATATTTTGGCTTTATATATAAAAGCATATGAATAAAAATTGATTCGATTATGATTGAGTAATTTATTGTACTAGAGAACAGATCATAGAAGTAGAAAGCTATATTGTTTACTAAGAGAATTCGTTTTTAATGGAAAACTAATCCATACATAATGATAAATCCTGTGATAAACTACTGGAATACATGGAGAGAAAAATAAATTATCAATCAATATTGAGTATCATCAGTAACAAGCAAACGAATAATCATAAAAATTGATCGAATTTTAGAATGAGAAAGACAGCAAGTGAATTCTGAAATTATTTGCATTTTTGTGGAATTTAAGATGATCTGTTTTATTTTTGTTGCTGTTTATGAAGGAAATTAAATCGTACATGTATTCATATAAAGTAAAGATTTGAAAATCATACTCATACAGAACACTAGTTGTAAGTGATATGATGATATGAAATTACAAAAGTAGACATGACTTTTTTTCTTGAATTAACCCTTTAAGTACCAGCGTACTTTATAAAGTACGGTTTTTTCAAGTCTCTTAGTTCTTGAATAACTCGCGAACACAAAATGATATCGAACTGTGGTTTTCTCTGTGACATAGAAGAGACTTCCATGCATACATTTATATAAGAGTTAATACCCTAATGAGGTCACTTACGTAGTAAGTCTGACGAATCTGTGGAACACTACTTCTATTCTAAAAATAAGGAGAACTAATGATGTCCTTTTGCGGTACGAAAAATATTTCGATTTTTCGTGTTGGAATCAAGTTAGGAGTCGCTCGTACTAACATTCCAAAGGTTGATATGGTGACAGCTCTCAATCGAATTTCGACCCACACCCGTACTCCTCTACAGGGATGACTAAAGTACTTCTTGGCCATCCCTGTGGGGGAGTACAGGCATGGACCAAAAATGACTTTAAAGATTTTTTTAAAAGTTTTGATGAATATATCAACAATGCATACTGTCCATATTAAATACAAACTCTCAAAGAAATTTCATTCATTGGCTGAGTCATGGTACATAAAGGGTTAAC